AGGCTATCTGCAAGAAGTCCCACTGTTGAAAAAAAGACATGTGCTGAAGAGGTTACAATTTGCCAAAGAGCACATTGACTGGCCTAAAGAGAAATGGCGCAACATTTTGTGGACTGATGAAAGTAAAATTGTTGTTTTTGGGTCTAGTGGCCAGAGACAGTTTGTCAGACCACCCCCAAACACTGAATTCAAGCCACAGTACACTGTGAAGACAGTGAAACATGGTTGCACAAGCATCATGATATGGGGATGTTTCTCATACTACGGTGTTGGGCCTATTTATCGCATACCAGGGATCATGGATCAGTTTGAATACATCCTAATTCTTGAAGAGGTCATGCTGCCTTATGCTGCAGAGGAAATGCCCTTGAAATGGGTGTTCCAACAAGACAACGACCCCAAACACACCAGTAAACGTGCAACATCTTGGTTCCAGACCAACAAGATTGACGTTATGGAGTGGCCGGATCCTAATCCCCGAATCTTAATCCAATACAAAACTTGTGGGGTGACATCAAAAATGCAGTTTCTGAGGCAAAACCAAGAAATAGAGAAGAACTGTGGAATGTAGTCCAATCATCCTGAGGTGGACTACCTGAAGTTGGTTGACTCCATGCAACACAGATGTACAGCAGTTCTCAGAAACAGTGTTTATACAACTAAATATTAATTAAGTGATTCAAAGGAAAGCAAAATCTTCAAACATTTTTCATTTTTATATAGTGAATGTTTGAGTTTGTAAAGAAGAATACAAACACTGCTATTTTTTTGAATAGTCTAATATTCACTTTTCTTCAATTTTTTTTTAGAGGAACAACACAAATTTGATATATTTTTCTTCATGTTTTGATTTGGAATAGAATGTGTAGTGTTACCAATGCATTTGTGTGTATGGAAATAAAAGCTATTAGAAGGATTTTGAACTTTATTCACTTTTGTCAACACACTGCTATTATTTTGAACACAACTATATATATATATATATATATATATATATGTATATATGCTATTTTTAGCACTATGGTCGTTTAAGCACCTTGTATTTACTTATTGGTTTATTTGGGATTTAGTCACGGGGGAGGAGGGATATAATTGCCAGCCCATGGGGCATTATAGCACATTCATATTTGTGGGGCCCCTTTGGTTAGTAGTAGGGAGTTCATTAATTTATTTAAGTAATTATTTATATTTAGTTTTTGGGAGAGGCAGCACAGCAATTTTTATGTTTGCACATAACACCTTAACCACATGTCCTCCAGAGGATTTACCCAACTTCCTGACCAGTCCATTTTTTGTGATACGGCACTGCGTTACTTTAACTGACAATTACATGGTCATGCACTGTGTTATTTGATAGCATGTGTGTTTATTTTTTTGCGCCATAGACAAAAAAATACTGATAATTTTGAAAAAAAAACAGTATTTTTGACTTTTTGCTATTAAATATGTCCAGTAAAAAAAATTTAAAAAATCAAATTTCATCATAAATTTATGCCAAAATGTATTCTGCTACATGTCTTTGCTCAAAAAAATCCCAATACGTGTAAATTAATTGGTTTACGTGAAAGTTATAGCGTTAGTTACAAATGGCTGTATATATACTGGAATATTTTTTTTTTGTTCTAGTAATGGTGGCGATCAGTGACTTATAGAGGGACTGCGGCAGGCATTCTGACACTGGGGGGAACTGACTTGGTGTCACTGACATCCCCATTGACACCAATACAGTGATCAGTGGAATAAAAAGCACTCACTGTACTAATGGCACTGGGCAGGAAGGAGTTAACCACTTCCTGCCCATAGACACCATATGGTGTCCTGGACTTTAAAGTCCATTTCTCCCCAAAACACAGACTCTGAGAACTGGAGGACCAACATACAGATTTGGGGTCTCTGTGCCCAAACTAGCATTGACTGCTTCAACCCTCCTTCCCAGACTAAAAGACTCTAAGAATATATTGATGTAATTAGCCAAACAACCTGATGTGAGGACTCTTGCTCTAATCTGCTTCTTAACCGCTTCTGCGAAACCCTATAGCAGAAATACTGTTACAGGGTAGCATGGGTGCGCAAAATCATGTATATATGTGATTTTACAGTTCCAGGTAGGGGACGCATGAGCCGCCATTAGCGACCTCAGCTACAATCACCAGTTCCTGGCCAGAGATTGCCGAGTACCTCCGACGGTGGAGAGACATGTGTATAAACAGCACAGATCTCTCCCGTGTCAGCTCCGGCACACTGCTTTGTATGGCTCTGCATAGCAGAGCCATACAAGGCAGTGTGCTTACAGTGGAAAGCACTCACACAGCACACTGTGAAACAGCACACAGGTAACCCTTTGATCACCCCACATTTAAAGGATTAACCAGTATGAAAACCAGAAGGTTTGTTCTACTACTCCATACCCAGACATTAGTGTACATCTGCCATTTAATAAAGTCCCACGGGACTTTGACATGTGTGTATATGACCATTGGAGCACATTCACATCACATCTCCTAAAAATAGTTGCAAAATTCAATGTTTTTGGATGTAAGGTGCAAGTATGGGTGAAAGGAATGTATATGTTTATAAATCAATATCTACAGTGGGGATCGAAAGTCTGGGCACCCCAGCTAACAATTTGTATTAATGTGCATAAAGAAGCCAAGGAAAGATGGAAAAATCTCCAAAAGGCATCAAATTACAGATTAGACATTCTTATAATATGTCAACAAAAGTTAGATTTTATTTCCATCATTTACACTTTCAAAATAACAGAAAACAAAAAAATGGTGTCTGCAAAAGTTTGGGCACCCTGCAGAGTTAATATCTTGTACTGCCCCCTTTGGCAAGTATCACAGCTTGTAAACGCTTTTTGTAGCCAGCCAAGAGTCTTTCAATTCTTGTTTGAGGTATCTTTGCCCATTCTTCCTTACAAAAGTCTTCCAGTTCTTTGAGATTTCTGGGCTGTCTGTCACGCACTGCTCTTTTAAGGTCTATCCATAGATTTTCAATTATGTTGAGGTCAGGAGATTGTGAAGGCCATGGCAAAACCTTCAGTTTACGCCTCTTGATGTAATCCCCCGTGGATTTCGAGGTGTGTTTAGGATCATTATCCATTTTTAGAAGCCATCCTCTCTTTAACTTCAGCTTTTTCACAGATGGCATCAAGTTACCATCCAAAATTTGCTGAAATTTTATTGAATCCATTTTTCCTTCTACTCCTGAGATGTTCCTTGTGCCACTGGCTGCAACACAGCCCCAAAGCATGATTGATCCAACCCCATGCTTAACAGTTGAACTGAGGTTCTTTTCATTAAGTTCTGTGCCCCTTCTTCTCCAAACGTACCTTTGCTCATTCCGGCCAAAAAGTTCAATTTTAACCTCATCGGTCCACAGAACTTGTTTCCAAAATGCATCAGGCTTGTCTATATGTTCATTTGCAAAGTTCAAATGATGATTTTTGTGGTGAGGACGTAGAAGAGGTTTTCTTCTGATGACTCTTCCATGAAGACCATATTTGTACAAGTATCTCTTTATAGTGGAATAGTGTACCACAACTCCAGTGTCTGCCAGATCTTTCTGGAGGGTTCGTGCAGTCAAACGTGGGTTTTGAATTGTTTTTCTCACAATCCTGCGAGCTGTTCTGTCTGATATTTTTCTTGGTCTTCCAGATGTTGCTTTAACTTCCACTGTTCCTGATGACTGCCATTTCTTAATTACATTCCGAACAGAGGATATTGACATCTGAAAACGCTTTGCTATCTTCTTATAGCCTTCTCCAGCTTTGTGAGCATCAACTATTTTCAGTTTTCTAGACAACTGCTTAGAAGATCCCATGGTGCTGATTGTTGGGGCAAGGTCAGATGAGTCTGGGCATTTAAAACCTTTGAGATTGACATCACCTGGTCTTCCCAGACGATGATTGAGAACAATCCATGACACTGGCAGGTCTCAGCTTGGCAAAGGGGGCAGTGCATGTTATAAATTCTGCAGGGTGCCCAAACTTTTGCAGACACCATTTTTTGTTTTCTGTTATTTTGAAAGTGTAAATGATGGAAATAAAATCTAACTTTTGTTGACATATTATAAGAATGTCTAATCTGTAATTTGATGCCTTTTGGAGATTTTTCCATCTTTCCTTGGCTTCTTTATGCACATTAATACAATGTTTAGCTGGGTTGCCCAAACTTTCGATCCCCACTGTACGTATTAGTGTATGGAAACTACTGTACATTATCACTACTCTCAAGAGTACCATATTCAGGAAGGCATATGAAAACTCAGAGAGACTACACAAAAGAAATCAGTGAGCAAATGAGACTACTAAATGACAATAAGTAAGTGGTTGGATAATGAATTCCACTGTGCATATTTATAAGCATTTCACAGTACACTATGCAGCCTCAATGCTGCACAAAGTCATTGTGTGCTTAAAGATACAATCATTCTGTACATGGTATTAAAATCTTATTCCCCTCTCCTCTTTTTACTTCTGCACTCATCCCTAAATAAAGGGGGGCTGGCTTTTCTAGCCATACCAGAGAAATTTCATTTCAGATGCTATCTCAGATAAGTGAGCTAATATTTGCATCCTCTGTTCCACAACCGATTAGATTGTAAAGATTTCAGAAGCAATGCGCGGTATTCTAAAAGAATGTTAATTCACTTTAAATTTCAGGGGGCTTACATGAAATGTCCACAAGATAACATCTAGGATTAATAATTTTCCATAATCTGCAGGAATCTAGCTGTCCACTGGAGAGTGTTTATATACACAATATTAAACACAGATAAAACAGGCATATAAAAATCCAAAAAAACAAGTGGACTATAATTTATTAAGTTAATATTAAAATGAGGTAGTTTTATTGTCAGAAAGTTGTTTAATTTTCTGTTTAAAAAAAAAACAGACAATTATTTCTAAAAATATGTATCCTAGATCAAGTTTTACTTTTTTTATTGTGTTTAACCATTCATAATTGATCATTTTGAGTATAACAGTATACCTTCTTTCAGTTTGTTGTCTGGCTTATGGTACTGTTGGTATCCCACTGTTCTTCAATTTGTTGTACTCTTTCAAAATCTGGAGTTGTGCGCCTCTGGTCTAACCCCCTAGAAAAGAGAGTTGTGACTTAACAAAGCAAAAGTGAAATACTGTACCTTCAGTTGGCTAACTAAATATATTTTGTGGCTTAGCTGTCAAGCATGGTTTCATACAAATAACTGACAAAATCATAATATGTATAGACAAGTATACTTGCCAACAAAGAATACAAGTTAATTAAGCCAACAACAAACAAGTCTGTGAAAAACAAGTACACTGAATGGAAATTGTTCACTTTTTTCAACATACACTATATTGCCAAAAGTATTGGGACGCCTGCCTTTACACGCACTTGAACTTTAATGGCATCCCAGTCTTAGTCCGTAGGGTTCAATATTGAGTTGGCCCACCTTTTGCAGCTATAACAACTTCAACTCTTCTGGGAAGGCTGTAGAACTGCTTTAGCAAAAAAGTGTTTCTTGCTTTATGAGAATATGGGGCCATTTGTCCAGAAGTTGAAGTTGAACTGGAAATGGGTTTTTCAACACAATATTGATTTGAAGCACACTAGCAAATTTAATTCCCATTTCAATTTTGTAAAGGCATTTTGAGAAGGGGATTATTTTAAGGAAACACCAAAAAACCTTGAATGAGAGTAATTTTGCATTGAAGGTGTCCAAAATTTCACTGAGCTTGTATACAATATGCCAAGTCAACAGCTTTTGATGCCAAGGATGTAGGTGAGAAAAAGACAGAGATCAGTGGAACAAAGACATTTTTTAAAATTAGACCAAATAATGAAGTGGAGATGTGAAATATGCACCATTTAGTTATGGCATATTGGGGTTTATTTACTAAAGCTGGAGAGTGCAAAATCAGGCTCACTTCTGCATGGAAACCAATCAGATTCTAATGCCAGCCTTTTCAATTAAGCTTTGGCAAGAAAACCTGGAAGCTGATTGCTTTCTATGCAGAAGTGAGCTTGATTTTGCACTCTCCAGCTTTAGTAAATAAAGCCCATTGCATCTTTATCTGTCAGCAGGTTTGTGAACTATGCCAAGATGACAGCTTGGTTAACTTCAAAGTGGAAAGGGAGGTGCTTGTCTCTATTTAGGCCACTAAGTAATGTGTTTTACATTTCAATATGAATTTATACTCCCTGTTCCGTCCCTTTTGGGGCATATTTACTAAAACTGTAGCATGCAAAATCTGTTACAGCTCTACCTAGAAACCAATCAGCTCCCAAATGTTATTGTCAAAGCTTAATTGAACAAGCTGAAGTTAGAAGCTGATTGGCTACTATTCACAACTGCACCAAATTCCGAGTGCTCTAGCTTTAGTAAATCCCTATTTACACCCCGGTCACATCAAACCTCACTGTAAGTCGCACGATTTCAAAGTTGGATGACATACCAATTTCAGGTGCGATTTGCAAGACATCTGACATAGATGTCTATGCAAATAGCAGCAACAGTAGTGAATGTATTACTTTATAAATGGGCGCAGCTCTAACCAAGTCGGAACCGCACTGATATGACCGCTGTAACTGTGGACAATTGGGTGCAACTTGGCATATGATTTGCAAGTCACATGGCATGCAAATCGCATGCCAATTTGCATCCAGTGTGACCGGGGTGGTAGTGTACTCAAGTTTCCCATCAGAACAGTAACCCACAAATCCTCAATAATTGTGATTAGTTCTGCAATTTAACCTGTACAGGTTAAAAAACTAGAATATCGTGCAAAAGTTCATTTATTTCAGTAAAGCAACTTAAAAGGTGAAACTAATATATGAGATAGACTCATGTCATGCAACATGATTACATGCAAAGCAAGATAGTTCAAGCCGTGATTTGTCATAATTGTGATGATTATGGCTTACAGCTCATGAAAACCCAAATCCACAATCTCAGAAAATTTAGAATATTGTGAAAAGGTGCAATATTCTAGGCTCAAAGTGTCCCACTCTAATCAGCTAATTAAGCCATAACACCTGCAAAGGGTTCCTGAGCCTTTAAATGGTCTCTCAGTCTGGTTCAGTAGGAATCACAATCATGGGAAAGACTGTTGACCTGAGAGTTGTGCAGAAAACCATCACTGACACCCTCCATAAGGAGGGAAAGCCTCAAAAGGTAATTGCAAAAGACGTTGTATGTTCCCAAAGTGCTGTATAAAAGCACATTAATAGAAAGTTATGTGGAAGGGAAAAGTGTGGAAGAAAAAGGTGCACAAGCAGCAGGAATGACCGCAGACTGGAGAGGATTGTCAGGAAAAAGCCATTCAAAATTGTTGGGGACTTGCACAAGGAGTGGACTGAGGCTGGAGTCAGCGCATCAAGAGCCACCACACACAGATGGATCATGGACATGGGCTTCCTCTTGTCAAGCCACTCCTGAGCAACAAACAACGTCAGAAGCATCTTACCTGGGCTAAAGAAAAACAGACCTGGTCTGTTGCTCAGTGGTCCAAAGTCCTCTTTTCTGATGAGAGCAACTTTTGCATCTCATTTGGAAACCAAGGACCCAGTGTATGAAGAATGGAGAGGCACACACTGCAAGATGCTTGAAGTCCAGTGTGAAGTTTCCACAGTCTGTGTTCATTTGGGGAGCCATGTCATTTGCTGGTGTTGGTCCAGTGTGCTTCATTAAGTCCAGGGTCAACGCAGCCATCTACCAGGAAATTTTGGAGCACTTCATGCTTCCTTCCTCAGACAAGCTTTATGGGGATGCTAACTGCATTTTCCAGCAGTACTTGGCACCTGCCCACACTGCCAAAAGCACCAAAACCTGGTTCAATGACCGTGGGGGATTACTGTGCTTGATTGTTCAGCAAACTCGCCTGACCTGAACCTTATAGAGAATCTATGGGGCATTGCCAAGAGAAAAATGAGAGACATGAGACCGAACAATGCAGAAGAGCTGAAGGCCGCTATTGAAGCATCCTGGTCTTTCATAACACCTCAGCAGTGCCACAGGCTGATAGCTTCCATGCCATGCCGCATTGAGGCAGTAATTGCTGCAAAAGGGGCCCAAACCAAGTACTGAGTACATATGCATGCTTATACTTTTCAGAGGTCCAATATTGTTCTATGTACAATCCTTGTTTTATTGATTGCATGTAATATTCTATTTTTCTGAGATTGTAGATTTGGGGTTTTCATGAACTTTAAGCCATAATCATCACAATTATGACAAAATCACGGCTTGAACTATCTTGCTTTGCATGTAATGAGTCTATCTCATTATATTAGTTTCACCTTTTAAGTTGCATTACTGAAATAAATGAACTTTTGCACGATATTCTAATTTTTTGAGTTTCACCTGTGTATTCAGTGAAGGAGAACAACAGATCACAAAGCATAGCTGCAACCAAAGGCTAAAGATCTGGGCAGCTGGGGCATGTGCCAAGGGCCTTTTATTCGATTCACCAGGCATAGTGAAACCTGTAACAGAGAATAACACTCTGCAAGCTGTGCTGTAAAATACACTGTCTCTGCACCATGACAGCTGCACTCTACACAATATATTGTACATTAATAGTTCTGCCCACTGCACTCTAAAAATTGAGTTGTACATTACATACATATGACTCCAGCACTTTATGCACTGCATAGTCCTGACCAAAGTGCCTATTGTCTCAGCTGCTGGTTGGTAAGCAGTTGACAAGCCCTATTTTCCCCTAGCTCTCCTTTAACGTAGGCTCAGACAAAGCACTAGCTCTATGTCTATATTCTGTGTTGAGAAAAGCAAGCTATGTTTAAGCCGGTTTAATAATTTTTTTGGGGGGGGGGGGGGGGGCACAGTACCAAACTCTTAACTCTAATGGTGTTTATCCCATGTCCTGCTGTTTCATGTAAAAACACTTCCTTCAGGCCACTGGGTACAGTGCGCAGAGTGGCAGTCTTACCATGCTGCAGATTTTAACAGCAGTGACTGTGAAGGACTTGCACTGCTCGCCCTCCCTTCCTGCCCCCTCAACCATTCACAAACTCATGCTATTATTGTCCCTCAATGCAAGATGTTCTGTGAATGGGCAGGGGAGATCTTTCATCTGTTCATTCATCTGCTCCTCCTCCATTCTCAGAACAGTCGTTTTATGTAGGTAATATAGGCACAGTACTGGTTTTAAATATATATATGCACTGGTTATGTCTGGCTATGTACAGTTATTTATCAGGTTTTACCAGAACTGGATCTCTATGATAATATGGGTCCATCATATCACTGGTCATGGTGCTCAATCAACAGCTGTATGTCATTCCATCCAGCTCATAAGATGGAAAAGGGGCATGTTGGCCTATCACTTACTGTACTGGGCTAGGTCTTAAATTTTTGGGGGAGGGTATGGAAGTAGTATACAATAATCCTACATTTACATATGACAGAGGTTCTTCTAACCCTTTACTACTCTGTGCAAAAAGTTTTTGGTAAAAACTGTTTGTCTTGATATTGACATTTATACCTTGAAATCGTGCTGTTGTTTGTGTTACGGTTCCTTCTTGGTGGAGGGAAAAATACCAGGTTCTGGTAGAATACAGGAGAATCCAAGTCTTCACTCCCAGCTTCCGAAAATCTTAAGGGTCGTGTTTGGCTGGTAATTGTTGTTTGCAGAGGGCTGACAGGTCCAGCATGAAAACTGTCTTCCTGCCCAAATAGTCCTCCAGTCCTCTGAAAGACAGAACAGTATGAAGATGGGGCCATAATATATAAAGTTAAAAATGCAGTAAAAGTACATACCAATATACAGTATATTTCAGTCTACCTGGGTCTTAATGTGCAGGATTTGACAAAAACATATTTGACATGTGACCCACCAAAATGCCACATCACATGCCTTATACTGAAATTCCTTGTACCAGAATTAAAGCATTAAAGGGATTGTTGATCCTGGGGAATACACGCTTGTCTTCTCTGGGGCACCAGCAAGGAATATGTTTTTCCCCAACAGGAACAAATTGTGCGAAGTTGTTTAGGGGTTTTTGCCTTCCTCTGCATCAACAGTGGGTATAGGATTCTGTATATGATGGTTTTCTATTTATTTATGTATTTTTCTACTGGTTAAACTAGATCAGCGGTTCTCAACCTGGGGGTCGCGACCCCTTTGGGGGTTCGAACGACGCTTCCACAGGGGTCGCCTAAGACCATCGGAAAACACATATTTCCGATGGTCTTAGGAACCGAGACACCGCTCCTCTCGCCGCCGCCGCCGCCGTCTCCAGGTGTGGGCGGGATGACATGCCGCCCCTGTCATCTGGACACACCTCGAGATCAATCCTCGCCTGTGATTGGCCGCCGGCACTGTAGCTCAGGAGAGGCACACAGGCGGCCAATCACGGCAAGGAGGTGGAGCTTGGAGAGGAGGAGCCGAGCGGCACCGCGAAGATCGAGCGAGTGAAGAGGAGGAGAGCGGCCGGGAGAAGGAAGACATCTGACAGGTAAGTGTCGGTACCATGGGAGAGGGAGGGAGGGAGCGAGCGAGCCAGGCTGGAGCAGGGGTCTGCAAGGTAAGTATCATTGGTGTCAGTGGGAATAGTGCCCCATCATTGGTGTCACTAATACCAATGATGGGGCACTATTCCTCCCACTGACACCAACGATGGGACACTATTCCTCCCACTGACACCAACGATGGGGCACTATTCCTCCACTGACACCAACGATGGGGGCACTATTCCTCCCCCAAATGACACCAACGATGGGGCACTATTCCTCCCCAAATGACACCAAGGATGGGGCACGATTCCTCCCCCACTGACACCAACGATGGGGCACAATTCCTCCCCCCCACTGACACCAAGGATGGGGCACTATTCCTCCCCCCACTGACACCAAGGATGGGGCACTATTCCTCCCCACTGACACCAAGGATGGGGCACTATTCCTCCCCCCACTGACACCAAGGATGGGGCACTATTCCTCCCCCCACTGACACCAAGGATGGGGCACTATTCCTCCCCCCACTGACACCAAGGATGGGGCACTATTCCTCCCCCCACTGACACCAAGGATGGGGCACTATTCCTCCCCCACTGACACCTATGATGGGGCACTATTCCCCCCACTGGACACAATGATGGGGCACTATTCCCCCACTGACACCAATGATGGGGCACTATTCCCCCCACTGACACCTATGATGGGGCACTATTCCTCCCCCCCACTGACACCAATGATGGGGCACTATTCCCTCTCCCCACTGACACCAATGATGGGGCACTATTCCTCCCACTGACAGCAATGATGGGGCACTATTCCTCCCACTGACAGCGCAATGATGGGGCACTATTCCTCCCACTGATACCGATGATGAGGCACTATTCCTCCCACTGACACCGATGATGGGGCACTATTCCTCCCACTGATACCGATGATGGGGCACTATTCCTCCCACTGATACAAATGACGGGGCACTACTTCCTCCCACTGACACGATGACGGGGCACTATTCCTCACACTGATACCGATGACGAGGCACTATTCCTCCCACTGACACCGATGACGAGGCACTATTCCTCCCACTGACACCAATGACGGGGCACTATTCCTCCCACTGATACCAATGACGGGGCACTATTCCTCCCACTGATACCAATGACGTGGGGCACTATTCCTCCTCCCACTGATACCAATGACGGGGCACTATTCCTCCCACTGACACCAATGATGGGGCACTATTCCTCCCACTGATACCAATGATGGGGCACTATTCCTCCACACTGATACCAATGATGGGGCACTATTTCTCCCACTGATACCAATGATGAGGCACTATTCCTCCCACTGACACCTATGATGGGGCACTATTCCCCCCACTGACACCAATGATTGGGGCATTCCTATTCCCCCACTGACACCAATGATGGGGCACTATTCCTCCTCCCACTGACACCTATGATGGGGCACTATTCCTCCCACTGATACCAATGATGGGACACTATTCCTCCCACTGATAACGATGATGAGGCACTATTCCTCCCACTGACACCGATGATGAGGCACTATTCCTCCCACTGACACCGATGATGGGGCACTATTCCTCCCACCCTGACACCGATGACGGGGCACTATTCCTCCCACTGATACCGATGACGGGGGCACTATTCTCTCACACTGACACCGATGACGGGGCACTATTCCTCACACTGATACCAATGATGAGGCACTATTCCTCCACTGACACCAATGATGGGTCACTATTCCTCCCACTGACACCAATGATGGGTCACTATTCCCCACTGACACAATGATGGGACACTATTCCCCCCCACTGATACCAATGATGGGGCACTATTCCTCCACTGACACCAATGATCGGGCACTATTCCTCCCACTGATACCAATGATGGGACACTATTCCCTCCCACTGATACCAATGATGGGCACTATTCCCCCCCACTGACACCAATGATGGGGCACTATTCCTCCCACTGATACCAATGATGAGGCACTATTCCTCCCACTGACACCAATGATGGGACACTATTCCTCACACTGACACCAATGACGGGGCACTATTCCTCCCACTGACACCAATGACGAGGCACTATTCCTCCCACTGACACCAAATGACGGGGCACTATTCCTACCACTGATACCAATGACGGGGCACTATTCCTCCCACTGATACCAATGACGGGACACTATTCCTCCTCACTGACACCAATGACGGGGCACTATTCCTCCCACTGATACCAATGATGGGGCACTATTCCTCCCACTGACACAATGACAGGGCACTATTCCTCCCACTGACACCAATGACGGGGCACTATTCCTCCCACTGACACCAATGACGGGGCACTATTCCTCCCACTGACACCAATGAAGGGGCACTATTCCTCCCACTGACACCGATGATGGAGCACTATTCCTCCCACTGATACCGATGACGGGGCACTATTCCTCCCCCCACTGACACCAAGGATGGGGCACTATTCCTCCCCCCACTGACACCAAGGATGGGGCACTATTCCTCCCCCCACTGACACCAAGGATGGGGCACTATTCCTCCCCCACTGACACCTATGATGGGGCACTATTCCCCCCACTGACACCAATGATGGGGCACTATTCCCCCCACTGACACCAATGATGGGGCACTATTCCCCCCACTGACACCTATGATGGGGCACTATTCCTCCCCCCACTGACACCAATGATGGGGCACTATTCCTCCCCCACTGACACCAATGATGGGGCACTATTCCTCCACTGACAGCAATGATGGGGCACTATTCCTCCCACTGACAGCAATGATGGGGCACTATTCCTCCCACTGATACCGATGATGGGGCACTATTCCTCCACTGACACCGATGATGGGGCACTATTCCTCCCACTGATACGATGATGGGGCACTATTCCTCACACTGATTACCGATGATGGGGCACTATTCCTCCCACTGATACCGATGATGGGGCACTATTCCTCCCACTGACACCGATGACGGGGCACTATTCCTCACACTGATACCGATGACGAGGCACTATTCCTTCCCAACTGACACCGATGACGAGGCACTATTCCTCCCACTGACACCAATGACGGGGCACTATTCCTCCCACTGATACCAATGACGGGGCACTATTTCCCACCCAATGATACCAATGACGGGGCACTATTCCTCCTCCCACTGATACCAATGACGGGGCACTATTCCTCCCACTGACACAATGATGGGGGGCACTATTCCTCCACTGATACCAATGATGGGGGCACTATTCCTCCCACTGATACCAATGATGGGGCACTATTCCTCCCACTGATACCAATGATGAGGCACTATTCCTCCCCCACTGACACCTATGATGGGGCACTATTCCCCCCACTGACACCAATGATGGGGAACTATTCCTCCCCCCACTGACACCAATGATGGGGCACTATTCCTCCTCCCACTGACACCTATGATGGGGCACTATTCCTCCCACTGATACCGATGATGGGACACTATTCCTCCCACTGATACCGATGATGAGGCACTATTCCTCCCACTGACACCGATGATGAGGCACTATTCCTCCCACTGACACCGATGATGAGGCACTATTCCCCACTGACACCGATGATGGAGCACTATTCCTCCCACTGATACCGATGACGGGGCACTATTCCTCACACTGACACCGATGACGGGGCACTATTCCTCACACTGATACCAATCGATGACGAGGCACTATTCCTCCCACTGACACCAATGATGGGTCACTATTCCTCCACTGACACCAATGATGGGACACTATTCCCCCCCACTGATACCAATGATGGGGCACTATTCCTCCCACTGACACCAATGATCGGGCACTATTCCTCCCACTGATACCAATGATGGGACACTATTCCTCCCACTGATACCAATGATGGGGCACTATTCCCCCCCACTGACACCAATGATGGGGCACTATTCCTCCCACTGATACCGATGATGAGGCACTATTCCTCCCACTGACACCAATGATGGGACACTATTTCCTCACACTGACACCAATGATGGGGCACTATTCCTCCCACTGATACCAATGACGGGGCACTATTCCTCCCACTGACACCAATGACGAGGCACTATTCCTCCCACTGACACCAATGACGGGGCACTATTCCTACCAGTGATACCAATGACGGGGCACTATTCCTCCCACTGATACCAATGACGGGACACTATTCCTCCCACTGACACCAATGACGGGGCACTATTCCTCCC